ACGATGGCCATAATAGAGCTGATCGTAGATAGGTTCTGGGGAGAAAAGAGATTAAAAATGAAACGATAATCAATAACTTCAAAATCTCAAAAATCTTACAGTCCTGCGTCTGTGTAGTCTTCGCTTCCTTCGACAAGTGCTTTATATCGCTTCAAATCTCCCATAGAAATCAAATGTCGTGAGCAGGATTTTATAGCCACCTAAGCAAGAAACAAAACCTCAGTTTTTTCATAATCAAGAAATTGTTTGGATATACAAAAATCAAAAAAATGGCAAGATAAAAGTCCTACTTTCTGCTTGCTTGCTCCATTCTCAACCGCACCCGAATGTTCTGAGACATCCCAGAAGTCATTTTCGTGAAGTAGAGATGGTATCAGCATTGCTTTGTCCAGATCCACATTCAACTCTTTCTTGTATAATTCAAGAAGACGTTCGTAAAAAGCGATTCCCTGTAAGCAAAACTTTGAAGCGACAAAAAAACAACTAAAAAGAGGACCTCTGACCAAAAGGAAATCAGCCCTTACCTTGTTAAGTAATGCTAATAGAAGACCTCGAAACGTTCTAGTATTTTCCTTTGGTGAGTTTACTACTGTCTTAAAAACTTCGATTGGTTTATAGAAAGCTTGCTTCCAAAGATGTTGCTCCAAATTCATTGTAAATGTGAAGAATATGTCGCGTAGTAGCACTCCATAATAGATCTCCGCTAATTCAGCGCTAAAACAGCATCAATTTACATCAAAGACTAATCGTAAATGGGAAAAACATCTCTGCCCGATAATCACATTTGCACTGGAGACTAAGAAATAAAAATATAGAGACTTAAATGAAAAGCAGCAGTGGAGTACTAGAAAAAAAGCTGGAAAAGGAAGACTAGCAGAAAAATAACACTTGAAAATCAAAGAATCAAGTATAATTACTCATTTTATAAACTTTGCCTAGATTTGACGAAGGATAAAAAAGTATTTACGAATAGAGAGGAGCAAAACCAACCTTAGGTGAAGAACTTTTTCAGCTGCTCTTGTATCTCTTTTTCGCACCTGGGTGAGTAATGAGGCTATTGTATCGTTAATCTGAAAATTTCTAGTTAAACACAAGAATTTTT